CCAAGTCCTGAATGTTTTGTACCTACATTAAATACTCAGTACAAGGTTTTCTTTTGTTAAACCAGTTGTCACTTTAATGTGATAGAAGTGGTTGAGCAGTAACAGGTGACAGCTCTAGTCATCTATGCTCTCCAGATGGAACTATCTTGTGTTCTTTCATAAACCCTTTACTTGTCACTGAGGACTCTGAGGCAGCTGTTCACTGGAAGATCAATGAAATACTAGTTTCAGAGGTTACTAGAGAAATGGAAGAGCTAAATATGATCTTAACTAGTCATTACCTGGGAAGAGAACAATGACTCACATCAATTTCAGAAAGTTAAACAGCCTTTTAGAAACTGTCATGACTCACAAGTACTGCACGCACACACATACACACACAATTTTATTCTCTGTTCAAGGCATTTAGTTCTTCTGTAGAGAAACTAAGCTCTCTCCTCCCTGAACCTGCAACAGCCTTATATTAATGTAATTACCTTGACATTAGACAGCTAATTGATTCAAAGATGTAGATGCTATATATGCATTTCTTGCTGACTGGCTTACATAAATTGTTGACCTATAAACTGCTGTGAAAAAACACATAAGAGAAATGAAGTATTTTTCTTTTTTTCTAGCAGATTTTGTTTGCTTTGGATTGCAAGTAAAGCAACTCTCAAAATCAAACTAACTCCAGGCAGGTTTGCTTTGTGGACATAGTGTTCTAAAATAAAAATTTTTTTCAGCAAGTATTCAGGTGAGGGGTTATTTTGGCTTCTGAAGCATTCGAGTCATAAATATCAGTATCCATTGAAACAATTAAGACAAGCAAAGCTGAAGGTAGCCAAGCTAGGAGACTCTGTCTGGAAAAGGAAGCAAAGATGATATTTTATCAGTGCTGGTATTTCCAATTCATGTTAATGATCCATCAGTTACTACTGCAACTTACATATATATGTATGCTACCTTTCGAGGGATAATTTGAACATTAAAATAACTGAAAATCAACAAGTGCTTTTACTAATTTAAACTGCAAAAGGGTTTTCCACTGCAATGATTACAGTATGACCAGAAAACACACATGCATTCAATGAAGATCATACAGCAGGAAAAGGTATGGACATACCTGGACAACCTTCTGACTATTCTTCACATATTTGTCCTGGCCCAGATGGAGAAGCTAATTCATGATAATTAGAGTGTAAATTTCCAAGCACTGCAGCTTAGCTGCCCTAGTCCCCACTAAGGCCACTTTGTCTTGCTAGGAGAAAGTAATCTTGCTTTGAAAGTACAGTATGTTGTTTTCCTTCTAAACTGAAGCATCTCCAGCAAGGACAGTGTGAATTAGTGACATGTAAATTCTCACACAAATTGTATCACAAATTTAACAAAAGTCACTAGGAAAATTAATTAAGATGAGCTATATCCACAAACAGTGTTACTGAGTTCTTTTTCGCCTTGAAGGAGTGACTAGTATATCCCAAGAAAGCAGGTAGAATTACTGTAAATGAGCTTAAGTAGCTGAGTAAACAGTTTGATCTGCCTACCAACTAACTACTCACCTGAGCAACTAAGATAGCTGAACATGGCACGGTGTGCCCACACTGCAGTGAGCCTGACACAGCAGCTGAGAGAAGTTGTCCTCTGATGGTTGTTTACCAGACTGTCTGAAATAAGCAAATTCAATTCTTACCAGAAAAGTGTCTGCCTTGCAAAACTCAGAAGAATGAGATTCTCCTGCTAATCATCTTGGTGCAAGCGAAGAGGAACAAAAACTTAATTATCCTTCTGCTCCAACAAATGGTACCTCCTCACTAAAATCCAGAAACTGCACTGGGGAGCGTCTATGCCTTTACCCATTCCAAAATTATCCTGTGTGGATTATTTCATCCTGCAGGGCTGCCAGGCCTGAATGTAAACCAAACACTTTACGCTGTTTGAAATTTTTTGATTGTATTTGTCAGTATTCTTTATTATCAGGTTTAGGACTTCATTTTAAGTAAATAAAAATATGCTTTTAACTACAAAACTGCATGAAATCTTCCATTTCCCCCCACTACGCGGCCAGGGTCTTCTTTAAAAAGATAACTTTGAGTTTAGAAACTCCAGTTGTAGGAACATTAATTTAACAGTGCTGCAAGGCAAAGATATATTCAGCCTGTTTGAATTCCTAGGTGAGGTGTGAAACAAAAGTGGGGGGAGTCTCCAGATAAACTAAGAGCAATTGTCTGACAGCATTCTGGTCCAAGGCTGCATGGACCATAGTCATATAAACTCATTTTATGCACTGTCTTTTTTATTAACTTAATTAATGTCTTCTGTCTGTGAACATCGTATGTGAATTCCAAACCCTGCAATTTTGGGCCTCAAATCTGAGGCATCTGAATTTACTGTTATGCTATATTGTGAAAGTAGATCACTACACGATTTCATATCTGAATATCTGTCAGATTCACAGGTGCTAACAGCAACCATTCATCCTTCTGTCTATATAACTTCTTAAATGAGATTCTGCTTCAACACACAAGTTTTATGGTATTGATATGAAAATGTGCTTTTTCACAGCAATAACTAATATTTTACTATCTTCGACACCAAGAAAAATGTTTCTTAAATACTACAGAACATTTTGAGACAGTCTGAGATATGCATGAAATGTCCCTGCAGGAAAGCCAGTTTATTCAAGGGACTGGCATATATTTTCAGTCTGCTTTATATTTTAGAAGTGGCTGTAATCTCAGCCACTAGATATTTGAGAAATCCTGAAAGACAGAAGATTGAAAAAGATAAAAACCATCTTAAGCAAAGGGAATAGCCTTAGAAAGATCAACATTTTTGCATGTTTAATTATTTATTCCATTATTTTTCCATTAATTTAAATTAAACAAGTAACAAGAAGAGAGCAAGAAAGAAATAATGAGGACCGATGATCAATCTAGGTAAAATTGCATGAAATGAAACTAAATTCTTTCTATAACAAAGTAGCAGGTCTTGGGAAGGAATGAGCAATAAAGTCATATATCCTAACTCTGTGATCTGTTTCACAGTTCTGTCTGATTTTTGCCACTCTTAATATTGTGTATTTAATTATTCCTACCTAAATGAAGTGGCTCTTGCTTTTCTTTGTTGAGTTGCATATACTTTTCATACTAATTTCTTAGTATGATGATTCCCAATTTATATCCTACCCTTTCACAGGCAGTTAAGGGATCCTCTGCAGCTGATGGCTGAATGCTTTTTGATAATCCTCTCTACTGTGTTATCCAAAATATTAATGGGAGTTTTGACTAGTGTTAGACTTAAGGTGGAATGCTCTGTACAAAATCCTTTCATTTAGACAGTGAATCATGAATAGCAAAAAATAATAGCAAAACCAGCTGCATTTTCCCAACATGATGCAGCAGTACTCAGAAAAACAGTTGCATGTTTTATCACAAATGGAATAAATCTGGAATGAAAGCAAAAAATATTGTACTAGGATATATAAGACAGAATGCAGCACTGGAGATGTGAAGTAGTGACATTTTGGAACATTACACTTGTGAAAACTATGTTCACATGTTTGAGATAATTCAGGAGATATTAGAGATATCAGCCTTGGAGATAAGGCAGAAAGAACTGAGCTCATTCTACCTAAAGAAAACTCTGAAGACACACATGAAAACAGTCTTCAGATATGTAAAGCGGTAGTAAGTGTGGAAATATAATATAATATTCTTTGCCCACTACAGATTGAGTAAAATGTAATGGTCTTAAAATATAAAAAGTGATTTACATTAGGAATTAGAAAGACTTTTCTATTGATAAAGATGTGAAATTGAGAATATGTTGCTAAACTTGCATGTTCCCAACATGATACTAAAAGTCATGTAAAAATGTCAAGCAAATCATGCTTCCACAACCTACCTTTGAAAATGCCATGCACGCTGCATCCCAGGTCTAAGACTGGATGTTTAGCTAGATTTTGGTTAAAAAATTACAAACCAGAGACTCATTACCTTAGCCAACACACTCTAAATCACAAAACAAATAGAAAGGTTTAGGTTGGAAGGGTCCTTTAAAGATCACCTGGTCCACTCTCCCCCTTGCCATGGGCAGAGACATCTTCCAATCCATCATGTTGCTCAAAGCCCCATCCAACCTGACCCTGAACACTTCCAGGGATGTCCAAGCTGACAAAGTTTAAGAGCTATGGAGACAGAAGAAATGCAGATGATTACCTGCAGATGATTAAGGAACCATCCAGAGTTATTAGAGTCCTACACAGTTTTTGACAGGTGACTGTAAAATATGGTTTTGAAATAATTATTTTAACCTGCTATTGTGAGTAGAACAAATGAAGCCAAAAGTTCAAGGGTGTAAACCTTCTATGAAAAAATCAATGATAATGTGGAGACTATTTACACTAGATATTTATGCAATCCTCATTATGGACTTTTTCCAATATTTAATGTATTTCTCTTCACAATAATGCTGTAAGGTCAGTGAATCTGTGAAACTGCACAAAAATACAAGATTTGTGAATCCCTAGAGGAAATGCTCAGTAAAGCAATCATGAAGAGTAATCCAGAAATGAGATATCCCCTTGGGGGAAACCACACTTGATTTCTCTCTCTCTATTTTTTTCAGATCTGCCAGTATTACTGAATCCAGATATACTGGACAGACTATACATGTACAGATCAGCTGAGCATGTGCCACCAGTTCAGCACAGACCAGGACAGGTGCTGTTAGATACTTACCCAAGCTGTTAACATGCACATTAATGTGCAGCTACTCTCATCAAGTATTGGTCACCCAACAACAAGATGTTCTTTTCTTGCTGTCTGAAAAAATGGCAATTGCCTTCCAGAACGTGTTGTTCTGGAAGGCTTAGCAGGTATGTTGTTTACCTATTTTATCCAACAAGTAATTGAATTTAGAGTACATAAATAAGTCTTACTTAGGCATGCACCTAACAAGCCAAACTTAAAATTCAAATAACTAAATTATTTTATGAATCTGACACTAAAATGACTTACCAAAAGCCACAGAATGAGCAGTCATGTCTCAGACCCAGGTTGTCTTCTTAGTTGCATTGTCTCTCTCTGTGGTCTGATTTTTCAAAGAAGGATTTTAAATTTAGAAGAATAGAAATCCAAGGTCAGGCATGCAGGGCAGGAAAAAAATTATATGGTGACCATCTCAGTAAGGTTTGAACACATTTTTTCATCTTTCTGGTCCTTGGCTGTAATAGAAATACAGCCTAATTAATAGATTTCTTAAAGTGTCTATCAAACTGCAACGTTACTTTTCTTTGTATATTATCAAATGAGGATCCAATCCTGAAGTGTGTCTAAAATACAAATAATGCATACATATTATATATACAAATAATAGGTTTTACTTTTCTGAGTGTACCCACAGGTGTTTCATGAGTGTGAACCACTCACATTAAGGCTTTTGAATCAGATCCATCCTCACAGATTACATTTAAACCAATATTCAAAGAACCACGAGATAATATATTTTGTGTTTCATTTTCATTTTGCAGAGAATTTTTTCTTAAAAATTTGAAAGAAATGAGTTCCAGCTTCTGCAAAAGAACAGAGGCAGAGTTAAGCTACATCACTTATTCTAGATTTGGGAACATTTTGCATGGCCATTGGGAAGATCAGTTCATTAGAAAGTCCAAAACTTGTGACTTGAGCATAAAATCTTTTCACAACACCAATATTAGGATACTTTGGAACTGAAAAGCAAAGCCTTCAGTTCTGTAAATACAAACGGCTTCCTGAATTAAGTACTAGAGAGAGCATCATCCTGAGCATGAGCTCTGGAGCCTACAACACTAAGTAGGGAAGGGAGTGGGATGTCAACCAGCAGGAGAAAGGTCTGCTGCTGGCCCAGATGTATACCTCTGTGAAAATTCGACCTCTATTTTCACCACTGCAGCTCCTGAGAATCAAGCAGGTATCTTAGAAAACATCAGTACTTGAACAAAATTCTGGATGTTAAACTGAGAGAATGCATAATAACTTCAGTTTTATGAGCATGGACCTGGATGCTGTAATTTTAACAGAACTATGCAGATTTGGTGCCCCCTGCTGTCTTTAACTACCAGAGTGGCCCATGAAAAATATAAGTGCTTAAATACACTGAACAGCACAAAACACCCCCAAAGGGCAAATTAAGGATGCTGCTCAAAAAGGCACATTTAAACTAGAATGTGAGTCCACACACTACTTTGGTGAAGCATCCAGGAGCTGAGAAAAGCAGAGCTTTTTGTTGGTAATAATCACAAATGGGAAAAGCATTGAGTGCACCATCGCCAATGGGAACCACAGAGACCTTGGCACTCCTCCATTGCTTGAAAGCAGGACCACAGAAAAGACTCAGTCTCTTGTGGGGATAAAACCACATGAAATCTTTGTGGTCTCTTTTTTCTTGCTCCTGCCTCTCTGCCCCAAAAAGAGAGTTTAAACAGGCTCTACTTTCCTATGATGATAGCATCTAGAGGTCTCAAAAAATATTAGTACCAGTGGTACCCCCAGGCACACAGTGGGTGCATCTCCATAAGTTTTTGGTATCACCTAAATTGGAAGACACGCTCCAGGAGCATACCCAATACAGCAGGCTCCTGCAGGGGACAAGCCCAGAGCTAACCCCAAACACAACCCCTCTAATGCATACAGCACAGCTCTTGGGGTGGCAGCACAACCTGCTTCTCTCTACTGAGCAAACCTTCCTGGGCCACGCTGCGTGCTAAAGGAAAGGCACCCACTTAATAAGACTCACCTGCTGAATCTCACTGCCACTGAGGGCAATTTTCTAACCTCTCTGTCCCTCTAGCTGCTTGTTCCCAGTCCATCCACTTCCTTAGCCCCAGCAACCTTCAGACGGAACAGTGAGCTTGCTTAACTTCCAGACTCAATCAAAAACTACTATCTGCTTCTTCTTTTTTTTTCTTTTTCCCAGGGCTGGTTTTCAGTTGGATCAGTTTATTGTATGGTCATGTGGGTGCCTGGTCTGATGTAAGAAGGAGGAGGAATGTCCCTTTGGCAGCAGTACAGTCTCAGATTGGCTTAAGCTAATCATGAAACTTCTGTCCTAAATCAAATAAGGGTGTGAGGTGTCAGTTGGTGCAATGGCTTGTCCAAACTAACAGAGCACATTTCTAGCACAGCTGGGTTAAAATTCTGCTATAATCAATGGTTGATATATTATATCCCTAATTTATTTTCATTTCTCTGTTGGTCTCTCATCCCTTCCTTGTACTCCTCCCAGAATACTACACAATGTAAGCGATGGTGAAGCAAAGCTACAGTGCCCCATCTGAGCCTCTGCAAAGCAGCAGACAGGACTTTTGGAGGAAGAATGTCTAAGTGATTTTCTAATGCAAATCAACAGTAGGTTAACAACTGATAACTTTGCTTACACTCAAAGACATTTCTTTAAAGGGGCCTTTGTTCAGTAGTCACAAGTAACCAATCAGTCAATTACTTCCTCCCTTGGCTATCTGCGCTTGAAGATGAAAAAAATCAAACAAAAAATTCCACAGAGAAGAGACAATCCTGTCTTGCTGTGAAAAGGGGTGTTCAGTGCCTCTATTCCTGAAGCCATGGGTGCTAAAAGAGCACTGTGCTGTACTTCAAGTAGATGTGCCGCAGAGGATGCTTCATCATTTCATATTCTCCTCATGCTGGAAGGCTTTTAGGACTGACATTGAATCTATGAGTCACTGACACTTCTGGAAAGGCTTTCTCGTGAACAAGATGAAATTTCTGTCATTTGTAGTGTCTGAGAAGGTTTTTCAACTTCAAGAGAAAAGAACTTATTCAGTTTCTCTGACACTTATTTATACATCCAAGTTCTAAATGGCCATTTTCAACTCTTGAACTCCTGTGACTTAGTGAAATGGTATGATCTGTATTACATCTTCTGTAGCAGAATTTAAACAAATATCCTTAATAAAATCTTGCTCACTCCCACCATCTAGAAATCCTGTTTTGTATTTCACACATTTTATTTTTATATCTCAGCATTCAAAACACCAGAAGGCAGGAGTCTGGCCTGATAACTATTAAATTAGTTGCACTCTGATGCAAAATCAACTTGCTTACTACATCCTTTATACTTCTTATTTTACTCAGTGAACTGGCTGCAGGAGCTGTCTAAAAATTCATTTCTATCTCCTCTACACGTTGTGTAAGTCAGCAGTCTGTCCTCTATTCACCTCTTTTCAGGGTGAAACACAGCCACACATAGCCATGTCAGGGGTTGTGCAAGAAGATTATGAGGGTGGATCCACTTGTTTTGATCTCCCAGAGCACTCTGGCTCACTCTGCTAGCAGGCTCCTGCAGCCACTTTCTTGCTCTTTTTCCACCCCTAAGCTCTCTTCTTTCCCCTTTTCTTGTTTTTCTCCCTGAAATCAATAAATTTATGTGCATATCTGGCAGCCACCACTTGCAGACAGCCAGACCTTGATGCTCTTGAGAACAAGGAGCTAATTTTTAACTATTGAAATAAAGTTGAGTACTGGAAGAGCTGGTTTGTCACAGAAGGGAGTGTGCAGAGGGATGAGCATGGAGGTTTAAGTCAGAAGGTCTTATTATCACTAGACCTCAGGGCACTGGCTAATCAGTAGGGGTGCAGCTTTATTAAGAAAACTGTATTTTATGATATTTATGTCTGTATCTGAAACATTCAGTTTCAGTAAGACACCAGAGACACTTCATGAGCCACTGGAGTGCTACATCATGGCAATTAATAACAATTACTAGGAGATCCTCTTCCAGGGCATGCCAGGGCCCAGTGTGTAGGAAGGGGTAAAATACATCACTACTCACGTCTTTCAAGTATGCTCTTCCCAACACATAAACTAAGGTGAATACCAACATACAAGTCAGACTTCTTTCTTCTCTCAGCATACTCTTTTTCCTGTGATTCGAGTATTGGAACACATTTAATCTAGTACACATCTGGATGTTCTTTTACCTAAAAATGTAGATTTGCACACTGTGAGTTGTAACTTTCTCCTCAGAGGATAAGAAAACACTCTTAGAATAAAGAATACTGAACCGGGAAACAAAAAACTCCAAACTCAGTTCACAATGTAAACAAAAGACCTTGCACTTACTCCACTTGTTAGACATCCTGTCTAGAATAGGATGGCAAATTGCCCAAGGCTTTGTTTATGCTGGCTAGCAAAATATGCTATAAACAAAGCAGAAGACAAACTAGTTTCTAACGTGACTTGTCCAGTCTTTGAGGAATAAAATCCAGCTTTTTAAGGCTAAAAACCAAACCAAACAAACAAGCTAGTGGAAGGATTGAAATGAGCTACATGTAATATAAAAACCAAAACAAAACAAGAGCAGGCATCAATGACCTAGAGTCAGAATCCAAGTCATTCAAACTCAGAATAAATAGTGGAGAGACACTAAGCAAAACCAAATTTCTGTAGCAAATATCCATATTTCAGGGTTAGTTTAAAGAGCGAAAGATCTGCTCATGAGCTCCTTCTGGAGACTAGACTAGAATTGTGCCAAGTGTATACACGTGTTAGTATATCAGTAAGCACCAGTATATATTCTTATGTTAGAACAACCTTGTATCACACACACTTGTTCTTATCAGAAGCTGGAAGACAAAAACACTCTTCATCCTGCAGTTAACAACACCGGGTGACAATCTGTTAGCAACACAGTAAACAGTGCACTTTATCAAGCATTATTTAATTTTCTTTGGGCACACTTTTCTACCTGTTTCTATCTTTCTGTGTCCTTGTAAAGATTGGGGCAGCAGGGTATGAAACCAGGACTAGTAAATGTTACAGAATTGTAAATAATGACATATAAAACCTCTGTATTTTTCATGATAAACAAATTTAGTTCCAACGTGTGCAGTTTCGAAAGGTATTTTTATCTTGAATTCAGCATTTAAGGATTTAGTGACAAATATTTCATATGATACTCTTAAATGTGAAACTATTAAAAAAAGTGTGAAAAAATTAATATTGATGTTCTTACAACATGATGGCGTAACACAGCCTTTCAGCTTGTGTGTGTGTATGTCTGTCAGTCTGTCTGTCTTGGTTCTCTCCTCACCCTGACACAAGTGGACTCGCCAGCATGTTTCATTGCTCCCTTTCTAGCCACAGTTTCTCTGCATGAAAACTGGATAGAGATGAATCAATGGTGGGAATACGGATGTCATCCCAATCCTGGATGTAGACAAGGTGCACACACTCAGGGAGCTGAAGTGCACTCCTGAGGCACACAGGGTAGCTGCAGCTAATGCAGCCAAAAAAAAGGGCCTTAGGCAGTAACTGACTTTGCAGCTCTGTCTAATCTCCAGGTTTATAAGAGGATGCCCTGTGACATTGCTCCTTTTGCTGGGTAACTCTTCTTACCTGAGTAGTTCCCTGAGACATTTCCAAACAGTAGATAGATTAATATATATATATATATATAGGGCACATGCTGCTTGGTCCACTGCAATTAGATATTCTGAATTTTGATGCTATTCCTTTATTTAAAACATGCCCCCAGGAGTAAATATTTTATGGTCAGTGATCTCTAAAGAATACAATTTAATTTCTCATTTACCAGGTATATGTATTCAGAGCTCTGTAACACAGCTCATAAAGTAATATTATGCTTTGCAATATAAGTATGATGCATTATACACAGCATATAATTTAATCATTCTTGACTGTGGCATAAATGGTTGGAGGTGAATGCCACCTAGATTAATACTAATTACACCTTGCACCTTTATGAAGTACTTATCAGCCACGCACACAAGCAATTTGTTCTAAGCCACACAATGAGTCAGTGGCAAACAAAGGAGAGGAAACAAGGTTCTTTTATCTCCCATACTTATTCTGAGCCAGCTTTTTGCCCACAAGAATTAAAAGCCATTTCATACTTCATAGCGATGAAGCTACTTTTTGTCAGCGTTTCACCAGAACTGCAACCTCAGTCTCACAACGTATGAAAAGGCTTTGTACAAGAAAATACAAAGATATATATGTATGTGTGGGTTTTAAATATGGCAAAACATAAACTAAACGGATGAAAGCCTTACAACTCCTAAAATAGCTTATTTTTACTATCTGTACACATTACCAAGGAAAAGAATACTACTTTTAAAAGCCCACACTTATTGTGTAAACCTCAGCATTTTGTGTAGCCTTTAGGTTCACTGCAGTTGTCTGTACTACATTTATATAATTCTTTAAATAACCACTGGGTGTCACAGTTACCAACAGAAAACACTTGGGGGACTTCTCCAGGTTCATTTAAAAACAGACATGTATAATCAGAGGTAATACCAATTCCTATACCCATAATATTAATAGTCACTCCCATTCCAAGACTAGGAAATGGTTTCCTTAATAAAAATAACAGTCAGAGTTAATACAAACTGTTCTTTTAGAAACTAGCAAAATGGAGATTTGTCTTTGAAATTTAGCCTACAGGTAAGATTCTGTCATACTGCACATTTGTGAAGTATGTTCACTGCTAGAGTGGAATGAGGCAATTCTAGACTCCAGGGACTTGAGGAATAATTTCCATAGGCTTTCTCTTTCAAAAATTAAGTGACATAAGAAACAATTATTTCCTCTCCCCTTTGTAAAATACCCATTCACTCAAAGAAAGTCTAAACATTTCAGCAGTATAAATAGCACTATAACCTTATGCTTCAGGTCCCAGCTCTCAGAATTACACAACTAGCAGAAGTACATGAGTTTTCACAGTTTTAAATTTAAAAGTTAATTTGTGGTCTTCATCACAGAAAAGAAAATGTGACTCCAGAATAATCAGTGACTATTCAGGTTTGCAGACAACAGCTTTAAATCGTGTGAAATGCTTTGTGTCTTTGTTCAGATGTCAGCTCCAAAGGCACAAACCAGTGTTCGTCCCACAAACAACCCCATGAGATGAGGAGTGTATCTGGTTGGCTGGTTTCACCCACCCACAAGTATGCCTTACACCTGGAATACTGGAGAGCTGCTCCATGCATCCAAAGCATAGGCAGCACCAAGTAAACTACCTGCAATTATACAGACTACCATATACGTAATCTATATAACCATAAAGCTCCAGTTTTTAGATGCCAAACAGTCTGAACAAATACCATGAGGCTGGCATAGCTGTGAACATTTTGGAGAGGACACAGTAGATAGTCAAAGGGTGCCATGAAAGCAGGTTGGTGCTCCTAAGAGCCTTGGAACGTCTGCAGGATGCTTGGGAAGCCTCTGTAGTATGCATACTAAGGGATACTGGTCTGGAGCAGAGTAGCCAGGGACTCATGTTTGGGATAATTCTGGACAGCAGAGTTTTGGGGACCTTTGCCAGGACCTGTAAGATGTGAAGAGGGAAGGAAGAAGGTATTTCCTGTATATTTCCTGTATCTGGAGTTTGATATTTGAGGGCTGAATTTAGGACGGTGGGGCGGTTACCAGCCGCCACATTTCTCAGTCCCTGCTTTTTCTCACCCTTCTCTAACTTCTGAAATGGAGAGAACTAAAAATGGAAACAGAGAACCAACTTAATCCCTGAAAATCAGGCTTGACAGAAGCACCTACAGTTCCTGGCCACAGTTCAGGTGACGGGTGAGAGATACAGGCTGAGACATGGGCAGGTGAGACAGAAATGCCAAACAGGCACTGTCATAAGAGATGTGTAACACATGGCAGGCACCAGTCTCTCTCATGCACTATGTTTAGGGCCTCAGATTGCCTTAAGCAAATCACCCTGCCCTGCCCAGCATTTTCCAACTCCTCCATTTCAGCCACTTGCTGCCTGATCAGCTAAAATGACTGTCTCAGGCAGAAATGTAATTTTTTCTCATTTTTTCCTTTAACCTATTTTCATCCAAGTCCAGATGTACACAAAAAGGCACACACAGGAGAATGCAAGCATTATCTAATACATAAAAGATGGATTCAGAGAAGAAGAGAATTAAACTGTTTTTCATGCCCAGCATGGCATGATAAGAAGTAATGGGTGTAAACTGCAGGTGGGAGTTTTAGATTAGATATCAGAAATGGCTTTTTTTACAGTAGGCATAATAAGGACTTGGATAGATTGCTGGAGGAGGCTGCAAAGGATTTCAAAAACAGGTTAGACAAACATTTATCTGGAATCACATTGGTATACATGTTTGCAGACTGGAGCAAGGAATGGATTGCTCAAAGTCCCTTCCAGTCCTGTTTTCCTGTGATTTTATGATTCAAGGACATCCGATGGCCCATTTTTTGCTAGGGATTGGTCTTAAACAAACCTCACAGTCTCAAAAAAATGCCAGCAAAATAATAGGAAGGGTTGTTTTTAAATAAACATTATTCTAATTCCCTCTTTTCTTACTCAAAAAACCCTCCCACTCTGCAACACATTCAACTACAAAGCTGAATGCAGTTGGTAAAGTACTGAAAGCATTAGCAGCATTGATAACACTGTAGCAATAATACAGCAAGTGATCTGAAATCTTTGTTTCTTTTGACCAAGTTCTTGCCCCTTATACCTTTCTCTCCTTCTCCCCACCCCAACACAATATCCAATTTTCTAAATTACTTGAGCTTTTATGCACACTTTCATTACCATAGCAGGTGCAGTTATTTAGACCATTAAAGTCCTAGCAGTAGTGTAAGTTGGGAGTGACCCCACTGCAAATTAACAGTTCAGACACAAGAGGTGAATGGTGCTTTAAAATGCAGCTGGAAATCTTCCACTGTACCCAAACAGGACTTGGTCCAAGGTCCTTGTCTGAAAGCTGCTCCCTTAACACAAGTCACTTGAGTTGGAGGAGAAAAGCGTTACAGATTAATTCTGGTTTGTGGAGAAAAGAGGCTCTTTTCTTCCAGCTGAAGTTAAAAGCTGCCAACAAACATCAGCAAACCTATTTGGAAATTTTGGACTGACTCCTCATGTGATCTGACCGTGGATTTTTTCCTCCACTTGCTATTGTATTATTTCTATGAAGTCAGT